GTGAAGTCTGTGGGCCTAAAAACAGTGTTGAGCCGAACACTAGGCCTAGATCTAGTGTTTCCAGACAGTTTCGATTATTATTATAGATTATTAGAAATTCAAAAGTCCAGCAGTCCTGGTCAATCATCCCAGATCAGGTCACTCCTGTTCTAAGATGATTGGTGAAGACAATGTCAAAGATGATTTCTGACAATAAAGATTATAAATGGGCACTTAAGTGATGTTATAATAATAATAATATAAACCCACATGACTTGTAATGTGAATGTGGTACACCTAAAAGTTTTTTAGTTTAGTTACAAATGTACACTTGCAGATGCTGCCATTACAAGTATGATATGAAACAAATGTCTCTAGTTTGTGGAGCTGAAATAATTAGTCAATTAATTGAGTAACAGAAAATTAATCAGCATCCTATTTTTCACGCAAAAAAAATAATTTTAAGGTTCTCCCGTTCGTCTATAAATACCCTTATGAACTGACCCCCTCCTATATTGCAGACCAACCCCTTATTCTACATCCAGGTCCCTCAGGTCGGCTGACTTAGTGCTCCTGGCTGTTCCACGTTCCAAACTCAAGCTCAGGGGTGACCACACCTTTGCTGTTGCTGCCCCTAGACTGTGGAACAGCATCCCCCCTCAGATCAACTCTGCCCCCTCCATTGACTCAGGCTCAAAATATACTTTCGATCTCTAGCGTTTGTTTTGGACTGTTGGTCAGAAAAAACAACAAATGTGAAGCTGTCACCTTGGGCTCTGGGTAATGGTGATGGACATTCTTCACTTTATTTTCCACATTTCCCAGCCTAAATGATTCGAATAAATCATCCTTAATTGCCCCTTAAAGTTTGTATCATAATTGAATATCTGATCAGCAGCATGGTTTTCATTATTATGGTTTCTTTATGAATTTCCCGCCTGAATGATTGTTAATGATCTTTGAACAGATGTCTGTGTTAGATATAAAAGCAAAAGGAGGAGTTAGGTGAAATGACTTCTTTTTTCTTTTTTGTGCAAAACCAGTAAAGTCTTCTTCTTTCTGAGATGGAGAAATATGACTCTGACAAACAAAAGAACTGCAGAACCGGAGGAAAAGATTATTACAACTAGACCTATAGTCGGTGCATGTTGCCTGAGCTGCTCAAAGGTTCGTAGGCTTTGCACAGGGTGACAAAAGAGACAGAAAGTTCCTACATGCGTAATTGTATTAAAGCTAATGTGAGGTGGAGTGGAGGGAAGTGCAGCACTAAGAATCAAAAAAGCTTGACTCAGCTTTCAAGAATTAAGGAAAGAATGAAAGCTATTTTTTAATTACTGAACAGCATCTGGAAGAGAGCAGTGAAAACCTCAATATCTGGAGTTATGATCCACTGGTACTCATATTCACTTGGGTGCTTTCCAGGAGGGGGAACTTCACTGAGGGACACCGGTGGAAACCATGTCAGTCGCATGCACACCAAGGAGGAGGAAGCCGAAATACTCCAGAGTTGTGCAGTCGAGTTATTTGACTACTTACACTCTATTTACATAATATCAATGTTCACAACTGTGAGACTGGATTATAAACTGTGTTTGATCTCGATTTGAATTATTAGCATAACCACAGAAAATGTCGGCTGTGCTGAGACTGTTTCGAAAATGCTAAATGTCTAAGCAGTCGAAACTCTAGGCCCAGCCAAGAACAGCACCTGAGCTCACATTTAAAACAGTAATTGTGTTGAAGGGGCTTCTTCATGATGTCCTGACACTTAAATTTGATCCACGCTGATAAGCGCACACAGAAACAACATTATCATGACACTTGTTGAAGTAATGAGAGGAAAATGTGACACCTCTGAAGTATCAAGTTAATACCCAACAATTGTCCTTGTTGTTACAATAACATTACCTCAATATCTCCACATCCGATTCTAGGATTCTTGGAATTACGTCACCAATACCTTAAACATAATGTCAATATCTGGAGTGACACAATGCCCACAATGAATCACAAGTTAGTCAAGTTTGCACTTTAATACTCTCGCTACTTTCAGTTAATACTGTAAGTGTTGCATCAACATATTCCATACAAGGGTTTGGTGTGAGTTTCGAAATCACCATGACTTCATTGTGTCAAGAATAGCAAACACTGGTGTCATCTTCTCTCCCTTTATCTGTTTTCTCTATTCCTCCTCTGTCATTATTGCGACGCAAAGCACCTCAGTTGTCAAAGTCAAGCCTTTGTTTTCAGGATCATTTTCAAAACCATTATCTCCCACCATAAAGAATTGGCTATAATGACATAGCTTTCATTGTGCTGTAGGAAACAGGCCTTCAAGAACGAGAGATATAGTGCAAACATTGTGGGTATAAAGCCATCACTTCTCACCACTTGGAAAAGTAAGTTGAAGACAACACAAATATTACCATTTGGATACACATTAGAATAAGTGTCTCACTGTTAATTAAATCAAATGGTGCATGGGTTGCCCAACAGGATACACATCTATTGACAAAGTTCCCTAGCTATTGTAGTCTATATTTTTCCCACCAGCTTTTGTTTGCCAACCAGATAAACGTGCATTCATGCAATCCAAAACTTTGAATGAAGACACCATACAATGACAGCAAATGTGTCCTGTTTAAGTGACGGCATGTTTGTTTGACATGCCTAACGGACAAGATCCTGATGCAGCAGGATCAGCAGCAAGCGTTTGTTTGCTCTTGCACTGAACTCTTGAGTAAATGTGTCTAATTATGTTGGACAGAGAGGTTTGTGTTAGCTTGCTAGCTCTGAGCAAACAGTGCCTGAACCCAATTCAAACTTGACACTGAACAGTTCTCAGCATTTCCAAGTTACCAGGAAAGGTAAGTTGTTTTCCCATACACAGTAGTGGTAAATTAAGCCTTTTTCATGGGGATTTACTTTTTGATAGTGGGAGAGAGTGTGATTTGCAAGGGCAGCATACTGTTTAACAGGGTTAGGGCTACTTGCTATAAAATTGGTGTAAACAAAAAAGTAGACGCACAGAAGCCTTGGGTATGGACTTTTATTCAGATTAGGCCTATTTGTATGTTCCTTTAAATCACATCAGTGTGACATTTGTGTAAAGAATTTGACTATGCATAATTTATGTTTGCTATGTACAACATATGTGCATATAGGCCTACAGTATGTCTGTATACACGTATAATGTAGAATTATAGACTTGTGTTACTTGCTAAATTAAGCATAAAGCTGACTGTAAAAGTAAAAATAACATTCTTATGATATTGTATTAATAATGTAATAATAAAAAAATAAAAAAAATAAATGTTGCTTTGTAAGTGCATGCATGTGATGCATGGGAATTGGCTTCTGTTGCAGTCTTCTGTTGTAATATAAACCCAACGTTTACCCACAATACATAATTGCAAGTATAATTAACTATAATTCCTATGACTGGTATAATCATTAGTAGACCTATCTATTATCACTTGCCAACAGATTAACCTATACTTTCGTAAATGCCAGATCAAGAGGTGGGCAACCTGCAGCTCCGACTAAAAAGGATATGAATATATATAATATGTGGATACTGTTATTTTTAAACATTTTCATGTAAAGGTGAAAATCCATAAAAAAAGAAAAGTCTTGGAAAGAAAATTGGTTATGCTTGATCTGTGGATTCAGATCCAGTCAATCAGCATTATAAGGCTGGAATAACCTGCCCCAGATTAATAACAAAGTGTTATTATTTAATAAATGTAATAGAGTACAGGTTCACCCACCCACCTAACCTGTAGCCCCTCAGTGTGAGTTAGTTTTTTTGAGTTTTGTGAGTATCTAATGAAATAGGCTAATGGCCTTAAAGGTGATGCCCATTGCCCGCAGGTGACCCAACCAGACATTATTATTCCCATTATCATGCGCTCCTTCACCCACATTTCACAGGTACAACAGCAGTAAGGAGGTACCGTTGCTATGAATACAAACAAACCTCTCTCTTTCACCCTCTCTCTCT